AATTCTATTTCCTTGGTATACATATCTATATATTATTAAGTCTTCCAATTCATCAACACAGTGTATCTTTCCATTTATGTCTTATTAAATTTTCATTTGGCAGTGTTTTGTACTGTTTAGTGTGCAAGTCTTTTACATCCTTGTTAAATTTACTCCTCTATATATACTTTATTGTTTGGATGCGATTGCAAATGGAATTGTTTTCTTAATTTCCTTTTCAGGTTGTTAATTGCTGGTTTATAGAAATTCAACTGATTTTTGCATGTTGATCTTGTACTTTTGTAACTGTTTGAATATTTTATTAGCTTGTGTGTGTGTGTGTGTGTTTTCTTTGGTGTTTTAATATATAGGATCATGTCATCTGCAAATAGAGATAGTTGTACTTCTGCCTTTCCAATTTAGATAACTTTACTTCTTTTTCTAGTCTAATTGTTCTGGCTAGAACTTCCGGTACAGTGTTTAATAGCAGTGGTTATCCTTATCTTATTTCTGATCTTAAGGGGAAACCAGTGGTCTTTAACCATTGGGTATGATGTTGGCTGTGGGTTTTTCATAAATGCCCTTTATCATGTTGAGGAAGTTCTCTGCTATTCCTAGTCTGGTGAGTATTTTTATTATGAAAGAGTGTTGTATTTTGTCAAATGCTTTTATGTATCAAGTGAAATAATTATGTGGTTTCCCCCCTGTGTTCTGTTATGCAGTTGATTTTCTTATGTTTAAACACCCTTTCATTTCATGAATAAATCCCATTTGGTCATGGTGTGTACTCCTTTTACTATGCAGTTGGGTACAGTTGCTAATATTTTGTTTGATGATTTTTGCATCCTTCATAAGGGATATCGGTCTGTAGTTTTCTTTTGGTATCTTTAGTATCAGGGCAATACTGGTCTCATAGAATGACTTGGGAAATGTTTCTTCCTCTTGTACTTTTTGGAAGAGTTTGAGAAGTATTTGTGTTAATTTTCCTTTAAATGTTTGGCAGAACTCACCAGTGAAGCCATCTGGTCCTAGACTTTTCTTTGTTGAGAGATTTCTTGAAGGACTGTTCCATGTGTCCTTAGAAGAATGTATATGCAGCTGTCTTGGGTGGTGTATTCTAGGCAAGTTTTCTGCCTTTTTCTTCTTTGGGCTCAAATGTGCTGTTACCTTTAGGTGGTTTATAGTGTTGCTCAAGTCCTCTATTTCCTTACTGATCTTCCGTCTAGATGTTCTATCCATTAGTGAAAGTGAGGTATTGAAGTTTCCAGCTGTTACTGTTGAACTAACTAATGCCTCCCTTCAGTTCTCTCAGTTTGTTTTATGCATCTGGGGTCTCTATTGTTTGATGTGAATATGTTTATAATTGTTAAATTTTTTTGGTGGATTGGCCCTTTTATCAATATATGATGCTCTTCTTTATCTCTTGTATCAGTTTTTTATTTAGTCCATTTTCTGGTATTAGTTTAGCCACCTCACCCTCCTTTGGTTACTATTTGCATGGAATATCTTTTTCATCCTTTAATTTTCAAACTATTTATGTCTTTGGATCTAAAGTGAGTCTCTTATAGATATCATATAGTTCTACTGTTTTTCTAATTCATTCTGCCCATCTCTGTCTTGACAGTCTATTCACATTTAAAGTAATTAGTGATAATGAATGACTTCTGCCATTTTCCTATTTGTGTTCTGTATGTTTTGTACGTTTGTTTTTTATCCCCTCCATTACTGCTTTTTTATATTTAATTGATTTTGTTTTGTACCACTTGATTCCCTTTTCGTTTCCTTTTTTTTTGTATATATTTTTTTAGATATTTTCTCAGTGATTACCTTGAGGATCACAATTAACATCATAAATTTCTAACAATCTAGTCTGAATTGATACCAAACTATCTATAATAGCATATAAAATCTCTGCTCCTAAACACCTTCACCCTCTTCCCATTTTATGTTTTTGTTGTCTCATATTTGTCTTTATACTTTGTGTTCCCATTAACATAGATTTATAACTATTGCTTTATGCATTTGCCTTTTAAATCATGTAGGAAATAAAAGGAATTTTAAACTAAAAATACATTAATATTGGTTTGAATATTTAGCTATGTTGTGACCTTTGCCAGAGATTTTATTTATTCTTTTGGGTTCAAGTTACTATCTAGTGTCCTTTGATTTCAGTCTAAGGACTCTCTTTAGCATTTCTTGTAGGGCAGGTGTGCTAGTAACAAACTCCTCCAGCTTTTGTTTATCTGGGAATGTCTTAATTCTCCTTCATTTCTGCAGTATAATTTTGTTGGATGTAGAAGTCTTGGTTGGCAGTTTGGGGGGAGGGTTGTTTGTTTGTTTGTTTGTTTCCTTTTCAGCACTTTAAATACGTCATCCCATTGCTTTCTAGCCCCTTCATGGTTTTTGCTGAGAAATTGGCTCATAATCTTATTGATCCCTTGGTCATGATGAGTTTTTTCTTGCTACTTTCAAGATTCTCTCTTTGTCTTTGTCTTTCAACAGTTTGAATATAATATGTCTCATTGTAGATCTATTTGTGTCTGTCCTTTTTGGAGTTTGCTTAGCTCTTTGGATGTATAGATTCATGTCTTTTATCAAATTTGGGGAATTTGTGATCATTACTTTCTCAAATATCCTTTCTGCTATTAAACTCTTCTTCTGGGACTCCCATTGTACATATATTGGTATTCTTGATGGTATCCGACAGTGTTTATTTTTCTTCATTCTTTTTTCTTTCTCCTCAGGCTGAATAATTTCAATTGACCTTTCATCAAGTTTTCTGCCTTTTTTCTTCTTTGTGCTCAAATATGCTATTGAAACCCACTAGCGAGGCTTTAGTTACTGTGTTTTCAGCTCCTGAATTTCTGTTGGTTCCTTTTAATAACTTATACCTCTTTATTGATAATTCTGTATTTGAATTGAATGTCCTCTATAATATTTGACAGCCATTGTTCTCAGCATTTAGTCTTCCAGTTTTGTAGAATAGGTACTATAATTACTCCCATTTAACCATGAGTTGATTGCCAGTTTATAAGTAAATATTTCAGTACTGAGACGCTGAGTAGGAGCTCTGCTTATGAGGGTGGGGCTTTTCAACTACCAGGCTTTTTCAGTGTGATTGCACAAGGATCAGTCATAATGAAGGACTACAATAAGGTGCTGCTATATTAGAGAGAGCTTTTTTTATGGCCTGTTTTGCACTGATGGTACTTCGTTGTCACATTTCTCTCTCAAGGTGGTCAGTCAACTTACAGGATCTCATTATGTTGCCCCAGCTAGATTTAAACTTCTGGACTCAAATGATCCTCCCACCTCCGCCTCCTAAGTAGCTGGGACTACAGGCATGCACCCCTATGCCCAGCTGGCATTTGTTTTTAAGTGCTTGCTCTAGAGATTGCATTTGTATCCTTAACTTTGCACGATTTATTTAGGATTAATACTGTACAGTTTCACATAAGATACAAGATTAATACTATACAATTTCGTGTAAAATATAAGACCCTTGCACAAATAGTTTTGTTTATCCCCTCTAACACTTGTTCTTTATACTATAATTTTCATATATGATACAGTTACGTAAAAAATTATAGCAACTCATGGTTAAATGGAAGTAAGCAGCTTTTCCACAAAATTGGAAGACTAATGCTGAGGACAATGGTGGGAAAATGTTAAGAGTAAAGGAAAGTAAAGCTCCACAAATAGAGAATGTCAATAAAGAGAAGTTATAAAAAGGAACCAAACAAATTCAGGAGTTGAAAAACATACTATATGATAGAATATGTAAGTGGATCATATATATCACAGTGTTACAGATCTTCCTTTAAACTAGTCGTATGTATTTTAAAGAGACTAAGAGAAAAATGTAATGTTTTATAGTTAAAATTTTTAGTGCTCTTCATTTTTTTCGTGAATATTTCCAGGTAACATATGCATTGCAACTCAATCCAAAAATATATCTTCCCTGCAGTGAGTACCATCAGAAATCTCTGGTCAGTTCATTTAGCATTAATTGGGCTAATTGGGATCTGTTCCACATAAAACATACTTCAGAGGTCATCTAGAGATTTGGTCAGAGTAAATATGCAGAAGTTAAGGCTCTCCTTCTGTGCCTCCTTTCTGAGATTTCCCCTTTCCTTTCTAGATCTCCACTGTTCAATAGAACCTTCTGCATGATGGAAATGTTCTGTGATGTGCACTGTCCAAATCCACAGCTATTTGCCACATATGGCTGTTGAGCACTTGAAATGTGGCTAGCGCAGCTGAAAAAAGGAAATTTTTTTATTTTAATTAATCTACATTTATATACACATGGTCACATTTGGCTAGTGGCTACTTTAGTGGACACACCATCATTGTAGGAAGTTCTTTTGGGCAGCACTGTTCTGGATGCTGGGATTTGACAGACCCTTCTCTTAGGTGAAAAAGGTAGAGAAAGAAGGAAGCTCAAGCAGTGCTTTCCCTTCATCCCATCCGATGTATAACTGATTTTGACTGCTCTCGAGAGCCTTCAGGTAGTTTTGTATGTTGACTGAGTTTGTGGATACATCTGTATCTGATAAGAGCTACTCTACCCATTTACCAGAAACAGAGCTCTGCTTCATAATCATGTTAACAGTGAACTCATTTTAAGGAATTCATTTTTGTGCTTTGTTGTCAGAATTCTCTTACCAGTGACAAATTAAGTATTTTTGGCTCTGAAATATTTAGATACTGCTAATGCTGATACTGCCAACCTGGTAACCCATTCCCTGAAGAAAAAAACTAGTTACCTAATACTGTAATTGTTTAGATGAAAAAGTATTTGGAGGACTTGTTTTTCTGTGTCCTGTAATAGAGTTTTCATTTAAACTATCCTAGCCCCTTTAACCTTACTAAAAAGTATCACTAACCTTTAAAGTTACTGAATCTTAATATTCTAAATTTGATATTCCTATCTTGGGTATGTTAGAATTTAATGGAATTCTTCAAAGCAACAAACTCATATCATCGATAACTTGTCTGGTGTACCTTGCCTTTTCCAGGTACCTGAAAAGGTTTAAAGTAATGAAGATCAAAGTTCTAAGAAGCTGGTGCCGTCAGATCCTTAAGGGACTTCAGTTTCTTCATACTCGGACTCCACCTATTATTCACCGGGATCTTAAATGTGACAACATCTTTATCACTGGCCCTACAGGCTCAGTCAAGATTGGAGATCTTGGTCTGGCAACCCTGAAGCGGGCTTCTTTTGCCAAGAGCGTGATAGGTATGTTTCCAGTGTACCTTGGGAACACTTGGCCTTCTGGCATTCCTTTTATTTAGAAACCTGGCCCTCTCAGAGCTCTTAGTAAGTGAAATAAACTTCTGAAAATGCATAGCTTAAACCTAAGAGGTGATCAGTTTTACTTAAGAGATGTAGAGTTCTCTATATTTATTCTTCTGGAATCATCTTAAAGACTGTCGGTGTTTTACAAAATTACATTGAGAGATATAAGTTGAACTTTGTTGCCAAAACCCCATGTAACAATATTATTGAATCATATTGTTGATACTGTTTATTATTATGTACTATTTATATAATAGACACAGCATGTCACTTCATAAAGAAATAGAATTTATATGTAGTTTAGTTTCTGAAATGTTCATTGAGGCCAGGCATGGTGGCTCACATCTATAATGCCTGCACTTTGGGAGGCTGAGGCGGGAGGATCACCTGAGCCCAGGAGTTCAAGACTAGCCTGGGCAATATAGCGAGATCCCATCTCTACACAAAATAGAAAATAGAAAAAATTAGCTGGATGTGGTGGTACACCCCTATAGTCCTAGCGACGCAAAAGGCTGAGACAAGAGGATTGCTTGAGCCCAGGAATTTGAGGTTGTAGTGAGCTATGGTCAACGCCACTGCATCCAGCCTAGGCCACAGAGCAAGACCTAGTCTCTAAAATAAAATGTTCATTGAGAGAGAGAGAGAGAGAGTGTGTGTGTGACATTATGTGTTTACCTGCCTGTTTAAAACTTTATTTTAAAATGTGAAAATAAATATGACAGTTCATTCCTAGAAGTTGGTTTTATCAACTTACTCCCACTCTTCAGAAGTTGTGAACTATCTAGAACAGGGTTTCTCAACCTTAGTACTACTTAGATTTTAGGCTGGACAATTCTTTGTTGCATTGTAAGATTCTTTAGCAGGACCCCTAGTCTCTACCCACTAGATGCAAGTAATACACTATCTGTCTACTTGCCCCTAGTTGTTAAAACCAAAAATATCTCCAGACATTACTATATATGTACCTTGGAGGACAAAATTGCACCCTGTTGAGAATCACTGATCGAAAGGACAAGGCTATCCCTTTCGGATTTTTAACTATACATAGATGCAGCTGGAAAAATAATTTAATGCCTATTTTAATAAGCTTTCATTCCCTGAAGAGGATATCATAATATAAAAACTTAATCTTCACAAACATTCTACTCCACTCCCCCTAAAAGGTGACAACAACAAAAGGAACTCATTAATTTTTATGTGGCCTAGACTCTTAAGTATTAATAGGAAAAGCATAGAATACCGGTTATTTGTACATCATTATAAAACAGTATTCTCTGTCAAATACTATGTACCTAGGATTTGGAATGCTGTTTTTCTATTTCCATATAATACATTAACAAGAAGAGTGGGAAAAGAATTATTTAAAACTGAATTTCTGGCCGGGCGCGGTGGCTCACGCCTGTAATCCTAGCTCTCTGGGAGGCTGAGGCGGGCAGATTGTTTGAGCTCAGGAGTTCGAAACCAGCCTGAGCAAGAGTGAGACCCGGTCTCTACTAAAAATAGAAAGAAATTAATTGGACAACTAAAAATATGTAGAAAAAAATTAGCCGGGCGTGGTGGCGCATGCCTGTAGTCCCAGCTACTCGGGAGGCTGAGACAGGAGGATCTCTTGAGCCCAGGAGTTTGAGGTTGCTGTGAGCGAGGATGACGCCATGGCACTCTAGCCTAGGCAACACAGTGAGACTCTGTCTCAAAAAAAAAAAAAAAAAAAACAAACAAAAACAAAAACAATTTCTTTTTTGCCTTCCTCACAGGAAACATTTATTTGTCTTTGGCATCTTAAAATCTCTGCTCAAGAGAGTTTTTAATTCTTGTTTGTTTGTTTATTAAGTGATAGTGTACAAGCCTGTTCTTGGAAATGCCCTATAATTTGAGGTATACAGATCTAATGTTTTGGAAACATTGCAAAACCTAGTCTTGTGGGATCTATGCTCGTAAAACAGTCTTTGAGTTCTATATTTGGTGTGTGTACTTTATTTCTTGTATCTGCAGTAGGCTTATTTGTGTACTGCAAGGTGGGATGGTAAGTATGTGAAGAAAAGGGCTTTGTTGAGTGGCCTTTGTAGACAATTATATTTTATTATTTTAAAAAACTTGCTATCAGGTTTTTGACTGCAGGGCCTCCTTAGAAAGTGAAACTACTTGGACGGAGTGTTAATGGCAAGAGACTAACTGTGTTAACCTTAAAGCTACCATACAGTAGGGGGCAGACAAGTATTAATATTTTGATCTTTTTAAATCTATCATCTTATCTTACACATAGCTGTAATTATGCTTTGTTTCTTGCTAGTCTCTTACGTTTTCTAGTTATATTAGTTTATCTCTTAGCCAAGCCTCTATTTTGACATGCTATATAACAGGAATTCAGATTAAACAGTAAATAAATAGACACTTGACCCTATTCCAATGTCTTTTGAAGGCCTTGCAGTGGAAGATCCTCTATAAAATATTTGATGGAGCAGACTGACTGAGAAGATTTCCTTCCTCTTTTTTCCCCCTTTCTTATCTCTCCCTGCCTTCCCATTCCAATTTCTTCTCTCTCACAGGTCAACCCCTCTGCTGCTGCTTCTGGTGAATAACGTCTAAAGCTTCTGCTCACATTGAGTCTAAATCATTCTTTTAATTTAAGGTACCCCAGAGTTCATGGCCCCTGAGATGTATGAGGAGAAATATGATGAATCCGTTGACGTTTATGCTTTTGGGATGTGCATGCTTGAGATGGCTACATCTGAATATCCATACTCGGAGTGCCAAAATGCTGCGCAGATCTACCGTCGAGTGACCAGTGTAAGTCTTCCCCTAACTGGTTGGTGAGCTTGGGTCACATCTAACAACCAGTCTCAAGCTGGATAACATGAAACCATATAAAAGAGAACAAGAGTAGAAAGCGTGCTGAGTGAAGTGTTGGGTGGAAGAGGGTTGAGGTATCTGCAGTGCTATTGCTCGTGGTATAGTAAGAGAAGAGATAAAGATCAAAGAAACACTTTATCTCAGACCCTCCTTGTATTCATTTAAATCTTTATTGTGAGATACATTATGTTTAAAAACCCACTCTCATCACCTAGTTTTCAACCCCCCATTAATTCATTTAAGCTCTCATTCTTTCCTGCCACATTAGTTTAGTTTCTGAGTTAAAAGTAATTCTTTTAACTCTAGATGTTTTGTTAAATTAAGTTATTCAGAGTTTTCTCTGAATGGCTTGAGTTGATTTATTAATTTATTAAATCATATATATATATGAATATCCATAATATTTAAGCCATAACTTAATATCTTACTATAGTCTAAATTACCCATGGTAGTTCATGTCTACTAACGGAGATATTGTCTACAGCTTTCCAGTTGAAACCTGAAAGCTAGTTGTTATGATTCATTATTTCATTTTACCACTATATACTTCATTATGCTACTCTAAAAAATGCAGATCTTATCTAACTATATTATACCTGATAAAATTAATAGTAATTTCTGGATCATCTAATACCCTGTACCTATTCCGATCTTCCTCCATTGTTTTAAAGATGTTCATTGACAGTCAGTGTTCAAAGTAGGTGCCATCAAGGTCCACAGAAGATACTTTGTTGTTGTATCTCTTAATCTACAACTGTTGCTTCTACTCTTTTTCGGCATGCCATAGATTTATTGAAGAAATTACATTAATTATTTTGAGGAATGTTCCACATTCTTAATTTACCTTTTTGCCTCCTTGTGTCATTTAATTTGTTATTCTTCCAGTTTTGTAAAGGGAAGTTTACCTTAAAGTAAGTTGGGGTATGTCAACAATGTGGAAATAATTTTGTCTTTTTTATTCACATTCCCCTAAGAGTATGTAATGTAGTTTTCCAGGGGCTGTGTGATGTGTGAACTGCATGTTGCAGCAGAGTGAATGCAGAAGCAGATAGGAAGATCATTCATCTTCTATCAAATGTAAAATTACACTAGTCTCTTCACTGAGTTTTCCTTGTTTTGGAAAATACTGAATTTGTTTAAAATGTTACATATATCATTAACATAATGGATTTATTATAATTTTTAATGAATTAAATACTTCTAAACTTTCTCATTTTTGACTTCTAACATGGTAAATACAAATAGTTATAACACACTCAAACAAAATCTCTCTGAGGTTCCCAAAAATTGTAAAATAATAAAGGGGTCCTGAGACAAAAGTTTGAGGACCACTGTTCAAAAGTCTGGATAAAATTTAGGCTAAACCTTTTTTTTTTTTTACAAGGATACTTAATATGTGGTGTTTTTTATACTGTATTACACCAAGAGGCACAGAGTACCTTGTTATCCCATTTTTAGTCATGTAATGTTTATTGAATTTTGACATAATATTAATAGAAAGTTTTATTATAAATTGCTTACTTAGATTTTGATAGCTGATCAGAATGGAAATAAACACTGATAGGAAACATTTTGCTTTAAGTAGACCGAATTAGTTTTGCATCTTCACAGAGGCTTGGAATCTTTGCAGTCAAGGATTAATTATAATCATTGATTATAATTACTGTGAGTATTCCTTTATGTCTTTTTTATATATTTGTATGTGATTCTGTTGTATGATGAACATAGAGCTACTTTGGACAGTTAATTTATTTAATTCAACATGAACTGGTGAGAACCTGTAGGATCATCATACCCAATAAGACTAATAACTATATGCACATAAAAGGCAGCATTACTCTCAAGTTACTCCTGGCTTTGTAATTGGTTGGTATTTTATCTCTTATTATTACTGGGTATATGTCTCCACAAGCCTGTGTCCTGACCTTACTGTTATATTTATCAACCTTTTTTCAATGCCCACCCATCCCATCTCACCCCAGTTCCTAATACATTATAGGATTCTAATCCATGAAGCACTGATTCTCAGTTTGGGCTGAATGAGAGCAGGAGAAATGTAGTTTCTTATGCCTTCAGATCATTCTAATAAGTACCCTAATCATTATTCTATAGTAGTTAACATTATGAATTTACTTTTTCATTTCACTGAAACTGGTTGAAATTTCTTGCTATCTCTTCCTGGTATAAGGAGCTTATGTGATATCAGTTTGCTTATATCAAAGCAAGTACAGATTCTTAATATTTTATTATCTTTTGCTGTTGTTCTTCATCCAAACACTTTATTCTTTCTTTTATTCCTACACATTTGTACATGCTATATACTGTACCTTCTCTACAAGATCATAATTTGATTTAATTTAGAAAGCACTTTTTATTCTTATTGCTTTAAATTCTTCTTTAAAATATACTAATCTTCTCTCTATAAAATGTTTCTGTATAACTTCACACTTATCTGTGTTACGGTTCCAAATAAAAAAATGTCTCAATGCTAATAAATGTGGTATTTTCTAAGTCCCTGCTATGTACCATGCCCAGAGCTTTACACTAGGTAAAGGTGAATAACGTATATATTCTCTGTGTTCAGAAAACTAGCTCTAATGTAGAAGATAAATGTGTAAGCAAACAATTGTAATTACAATATGGTGAGTATTTTAATGGAGACAAACACTAGGAACAGTGGAGGAACAGTGGTCAGCTCTACTGTGGATTAGGGAAGGTTTCACAAAAAGTATGAACTGTCAAGAAGGAAGAAGGGGGCCGGGCGCGGTGGCTCACGCCTGTAATCCTAGCTCTCTGGGAGGCCGAGGCGGGCGGATTGTTTGAGCTCAGGAGTTCAAAACCAGCCTGAGCAAGAGCGAGACCCCGTCTCTGCTAAAATTAGAAAGAAATTAATTGGATATCTAAAAATACATAGAAAAAATTAGCTGGGCGTGGTGGCGCGTGCCTGTAGTTCTGGCTACTGGGGAGGCTGAGGCAGGAGGATCGCTTGAGCCCAGGAGTTTGAGGTTGCTGTGAGCTAGGATGACGCCATGGCACTCTAGCCCAGGCAACACAGTGAGACTCTGTCTCAAAAAAAAAAAAAAAAAGGAAGAAGGGGAAATAAGAGTGTGAGCCCATTCTAAAAAGTGAGAATAGATGTACATGAATGCTGAAGTGGCAGACACCATAGTACAGTTGAAGAAGGTGAATCTGTTGTCTTGTGTTTGGAAGGGAGGGACAAATCAATCACTCCAAATCCTATCTTTCATTACAGGGCAGAGATTTAAAAGGCAGTAATTAAGAGGGGAACTTGTGACTCCTGATAAGGGTTTTTTGCTACTGTTACATTATTTTCTTTGAAAGGTGAAAGGGAATTTTTTTGTTTATAGACTTCTGGAAAGAGCAAGAGGGAAGAGAGTTAGGTTGAAATTATAGGGACAGGGAAAGGTGGGCGGTGGGCAGGTGAATAATGGATAGAGCAATATCCAGGATTCAGTGGGATCACGGGTATGGTGTAATGAATGGTAAGCCTTAATAGGGAAGGCTTTTTCCTGCGATGAGGTAAGCAGTAGTCCCCAACCTTTTTTGCACCAGGGGCTGCTCACTTCCTACTGTGCAACCCAGTCCCCAAGTTTCATGGAAGACAATTTTTCCACGGATGGTGGTGCAGAGGGGTGAAGGGGTGGGCTGGGAGGAGGTGGAGCTCAGGTGGTGATGCGCAGCCGGGTTCCTAACAGGCCATGGGCCAGGGGTTAGGGACCACAGAGGGAGATTATTATGGTGGGTTTTGGAGGCAAAGTCTTGGGTTCACATCACTGCTTTGCTTATTATTATATCATCTTGAGCAAGTCACTTAATTTCTCTGTACTTTGTTTATTTTGTTCTCTGTAAAAGTGATACCCTTACCCCCTTACAGATTGTTTGGCACAATGCCCAGAACTGGTGCTGGTAGTAGATCCTGGTTATTTTCTGTGAAATATGAGTTAAGTCATCTTCTCAAGGGTGTCGAATGAAAGGTGGCCTTTAAGGGTGATAATGGCTTGAAGTAACATCTATGGAATTTTGAACTGGTTAGAAAATAATAGTAATTATAATGTAGCACCAAGCCGCCAGCATTTCTTTTTAGCATTGATTAAACACTATTATGTAAACAGTGTATCCATTGTTTGTGCTTGAGTCTATGTGTCTGTAAGTAGAAAAGAGCAAATTTTTGTCTGACTTTTCTTGTGACAAACTATAATAGCTTAGATTGCTTTATTAGTTCTCAGTTGTCTGTATTCCAAATTCTGTGTACCAGGGTTTGAAGAATCTAGTATGGTGAGTTCTTGGGGTAGGCTTCATAGGAGAAACATTAATTTTATTTAGGATCCTTTCCATTGACAAGTTTCGTCTGTTTATTCATGAATATTTACTAATTATAAACTGTGACCAAGCGCTATACTATATATGAGGACATACCAAGGCTAATGTGCCTCACATGGAGCTTACATTCACTTGTTTGAGAAAAGTTGATAACTCTCTAAGAGTGATAACAAGGTTCATGTCTAGAATAGATGAGAGGTAAAAGTAGAAACTGAACTGGTTTCATTGCTACGGCGCAGTGAATTCAGTCATTCATTCTTCTTGTCTGAAATGTAGGACTGGATACCAATGCAATCTTATTTTTTAAATTAAAATAAGTAACTAAGTAATGAGGAGGAAAGATAAGCTAATAGATTCAAAAGTAAGAAAAAATTAACAGACGTTGCTGTGGATCAAAGTAGATTTAGAGATCAGCATGTTGTATGATGTACTTATCTAGGTGATGTCTGAAATGTCTTCTATCTCAGTAGATTGCTGATGTTTCAGAATGGTTTGACTTAAGGGTTTCTGCCACAAGATTGGGAGGATAGTACTAGCTTTTTTAAATTTAATGAGGCCCAGATAACATAGTTTGAACATAAATTCCAGAATCTGTT